CACACGTTATAAAAATAATCCCAATAAAATGCATTTTTCATGTCAAACGCCTGAGCTGGCGGAATAACCTGAATGCACGCACAGGACTTTACGGAATTGCATGCAAACAAACCGGAACAGCACCATCGACTGCCACGCACATGACTGCCGTCCAAAAATCGTCATAAGTGGGGCTTTTGGTGGGGAGGTTTCCCCATTTCCCCATTTTCCCATCGGTATCGGGTTTTCCCGCCCCCGAAAGCGCACTCTCTTTGAGCATTATGTAATAACAAGAACAAAATCACATTTCCAGCACGGCTAATCAAATAGTCGAGAGGGCAAACATTCAAAGCCATTTGGCAAGCAAGTCGCGGCCAAAGAAACACAAAGGAGCAGTAATTTGATGGCAAAAGGATCTAATGGAGGAGGCACTGCACAAATCAGCTAACAAATGAAGCATATTACTAAACAAGTGCACAGCTGGCGGTGCAGCAGCGAAGTTATGGTGCAGTGCAGAAATGTCACTTAATATTTAAATAAACAAGAAAAGTAGCTCTCTGCTATAACAACTGCTTTCAGATTACAGCACCGCTTATGTTTATATGTGTGGAAAACCTAATGGCTGTGAAATATTGGAGAGAGCTGCTCGCCATTGTGGTATGGCTTCAAAATAGAAGAGATCCTTTTAGAGCCGCACAGCCTTTGGCATTTATTTTGCTCAGTGCCTCGGCCAGGACTAAGAAGATTTGTCTTGGCCGCAAATTCAATTTATTTGCGTCTTAAAGCGTCACCAGCGCTATAAAGCAATAAAGCGGGAAAAAGGATTATCTTTCGAGCTGCCTGCTCCTCCTTTGGGTCAGCAAACGTTCCCAGAGTGGAAGCCTCGGAAAAGTTACTGCAAAAATGGGAAGACGCCCGGCAAAAGTCAGCCAAAGTTGCAAAGCACTCGCTGATAGCAAGCAACAAAGAAGTTTTTGTAACCAACTCAAAAATAAAATAAAGCAGGCAACAAGGAATTATAATGAAACACAAAAAAGGCATTCTTAAGCGATAGCAAACTTCTTTTCCAGACGCATGCCGAGCAAATTGCAGCAGTGTACCAAGTGGTTCAATTAATTGCAACTCACACAAAATGCATAATGAGTGCTAAAGGGAGAATTTCAATATGCGACTCCGGGCCCTTTTCCCACTCCCACCCACTGTTATTATATTTCCGCCTTTCCGCTCCTCCTGCGGATTCATCAGCCATTATGTGGCATGATGTGTGGGGCACATGCCCCATCGATGCACCAACAAAAGATTGCGTCTCAACAGCGAATTTGCGATGAGTGCGTGAGCGAATCAATTAGTTTGATGGCCGTGCTTGATGCCCTGCAGTTAGAACTTGGTTTGATAAGGTGATAACTATCTTTTTCTGGCGAATCAATGAAACTAGAACTGATTTAATCGAGACAGCTGTTTATGCCAAATCGCTGACCCTGAAATTGGGCAATTTTTGCCTCGCTTTCACCACTTCCTTTCTTAAACAAACTCATCACTAGTCATTAAAATGGATGTGCACATATGCAAATGGATTCCCGAGCCCAGAGAACTGAGAACTCTCAATCTCAGCGGCGCACAAAAGTAGGCAACAAAACCGTCGGCCGCCATTGTTGCCGTCTAGCGGCTTTCAACTTGACGCCAACGCACTTAGGACACCGCACACACACACACACACACATGCACATGCACACACACACTCTTATTCAGACACTCACACCCACAAACGCATCGTATCTCGACTCATTAACAGCCCCTGAGCGCAGCGCTGTAAAAGCGTTCCAGAGCAGAGATTACTTTGCCTGATACGCCAAGCACTCCGACGGGCATTCCAGCCAGCAGCGCTGCCAATTTGGCTTTTAGTCACCAAAAATAATGTACCAATAATTAGGAAGACTCACCGAGATTAAATTTGCAGAGTTTCACTAAACAAAGCCTTTTTAATAACAAATAACCCTGTGATACCACTAAAGCAGCCAGTTAATAAGGGTCAAGGCACTCCTAACAAATACTATATAAAAATAATATATAATATAACAATATAATATAAAAAAATTCAATTTTTATTTACTAGCTCCTCAATAAAATTTGGTTTATTTTATTGGACATGTAAGAATATTTAAAAAATGTTTTATGTTCATTCTGGAAGCAATTTGCATTTGCTGCACTTCACAGCTTCGTTTGATGCGGCAGAATATCAGTGCGAAGTTTCAGATCAGTTAGGTTTCAGTTACCAAAACAGTTTGCTGTGGCAATGCTTCATCATCACTGACTTTAGGCGTTTGATTCTCGCTCGGAATCCAGTGCTCAGTTCAGTAGGTGACACCATTGCGCGTAGGTGTTTTGGCCGGCCCACGACGTCTGGCCTATATAGCCACACATGGCAGTGTATGGAGCTCCTCCGACCGCCGCCCAGGAGTCCTCAGCCTCGATGCAGTGCACTAGACTGCGTGCACTTGACGCTATTGCTCCACATTTCCTCCACTTTGGAGCGTTGGGGTGCGTACTCACAGTGGCCGTCAAAATAATAGCACCAGCCAGAAGTGTTTTGCTTATAAAGTATAGCTATGTTTTATAGGTACACTATATTTTACTATGTACTGACTTCTTGGAGCTGCTAGAATTTCCACCGCATCTGGACACTTGGGCAGGTGCACTGCCAGCTCCTCTTGATGCAACAACACTCCGGGGGCTGCCATTAGTGTCGCGCTGCGTGGCATAAAAGTTGGGCCAAGTAAGTTAAAACAATTCGCATCGTGCGTGCCGCAAGCTCTCACGTAGATTTCCGATATCCGCACGCTGATGTAAAGTTGTCATCAGCCATCGGCCTCGCTAACTTTCGAAAAATGCTCCTTTCTTACACGTAATTATGCAAAAGTTAAAAGCAACCATCATCGACTGGGTTTCTTATTTCATTCTTTCTTTTTCTTGTATATTTCGACGTCTTGCCAGTCAGCCAGCCAAGCAGCCAGGTAGAAAAGCAGTCAGCACTTGAGCTGTCGGCGTCGCGTTAAATTATGCAAAAATGCGGAAAAAGGAAGGGAAAACCAGTGGAAAATGGCTGGCAGAGGTGAAGGAAAAGTTCATTAAAACAAAAAATCCGCAACTCGCATTGGTCATCACAGCGCTGAGCACTTACTGATTTTCCCTTTTCGGGCGTTATACTCGTAATTGCGGCCTGGAATGCTGCGAAATGCGGCTAAATTGTTTGCCACTTGATGCCAATTGGTTGGAAATTGCGTAAACACGTCGAGTGTGTAAAGGCGGCGTGGTCTAGGGTCTAGTGGGCGGGGCTCCTACTCGGACCGCAGTGTAAGCATTTAATTGCAAGTGACTTCAAGTGCTGGCCGATTTGATGGGCGGCAAATAATGAGCCGTTTATGTTTACAAGGGCCGGTGAAGAATGTTGGCTGGGATGGCTTGGGTATTAGGAATTCACGTTTGATGTGCAAGCAATGGCACAATGTAATTGGCAATGCCAAAACCATTTTGGCTGCGATTTGTAATTAGATTGCCTTATCAAATAGCCATTAATAGGTTTGGGTATTTGCATAGAAGCCTATTGAACATGTCATGCTCTAATTGTGGTGTTTATGGGAAGGTTGGTCAGCAAGGCTATGAAAAGGTAATGTACTTAAGCTTGTGTAAAATATTTCATAGCATTATCCAGCTTAAAACTTATTAACAAATGCTTACTGAAGGTAAACTGCTTTACATCATTTTTATTGGCCGATCCCAAGTGGTTAACGTTGAGTGGTTAACGCTATTCAACATTTTTCTCAACATTTTCATTATACGAAACACAGATTTTGTTATGCAATATAACGAAATATTTTCAAAGCCATCAAATTATATTCGTTTTCAGTTGGGCACGGATATTTACCAAAAAAGCTCAGTATTTACAAGCCTACTTACTTAAAGGGCATTAAATTGCGCGCTGAAGATACACGGCATAGTGCAAATAAATAATTTTTATCGCTCAATTAGGAGACTCCTGTCTTCGGCCCATCCCATGTGGCTGGCCAAGAGTTGCCGGCTATCTGCAATCTGATATTTCTCACGCCAAAGGCCGATGGCCATTGTCGCCTCGTTACGCGTTCGTGGCAATTGGCCGGCACTTTAAGCGACAAGCCGGCACTTAATTACATGTGTAGTCCGCTGCTGGCATGTCCTTTGCTGTCAATTATGGTGTGTCCGACATGTGTATTGCATCTGGATCGCTTTGGATGGGGATGGGGATGAGGAGGGGGAGGAGGAGGGGGAGGAGGAGGGGCTGGTGGTCAAGGGCCAGGTCCTGGCTGGCAGGACCCCAGCGACGGGGTTGGGCACGAGTATCAATCACGACGAACATGTTAAAATAATTTCATTTCACAACCGGAATTAAATGCAGTCGCGTGCAGGGCGCATTTACATGACACGACTATTAAATTAAAAAACATGAATGGACAGCCACAAAGGCGGTGAAGTGTGTTTTTCGCGAGAAAGGGTTTATAAGTTCACTCAGAGAAACATATAATGAATACAAATATACCGTGCTACAACGAAGACTCCATTAAGTATGCCTATTTAATAAAAAAACCTTAAATAAGTGTTAAGTCAAGTGTTGAAGGAACCCACACTTTTTTAAGTGCATTCGTCACCATGCCATCGTTTAGTCAGCGGCAATCGTACTACAACGAAGATTCCATTAAGTATGCCTATTTAATAATAATGCAGAGATAAGTAAGTGCCTACAGATAAGTAACTTCAAAACTCATCCAAATAAGTGTTAAGTGTTGAAGGGACTCACACTTCTTTAAGTGCATTCGTCACCATGCCATCGTTTAGTCAGCGGCAATCGGTGGCTATAAAAATGCTTTATTGACATGCCAGCAATCGCCCAATGTTTGCTTTTAATTCCAACAGCTGTGCAGCACTGTGCTGTCATAATTTGTCAATTGCGAGCTAATTGTTTTCTCTTACCACTTATTCTGTGCTTTCAGCCAGGCCAAAATGATGGCGACGTCACAGGATTATTTCGGCAATCCGTACGCCCTCTTCCGCGGACCGCCCACAACTCTGCGACCGCGCGAGTCGCCGCTCGGCGTGGGCCACCCCCACGGCCATGGGCACCTGCACAGCCACGCCCATGCCCACGGGCACGGCCACGCCCACTCGCACTACGCGGCCTTGGACTTGCAGACGCCGCACAAGCGGAACATCGAAACGGATGTGCGGGCACCGCCGCCGCCATTGCCGCCGCCACCGCTTCCGCTTCCGCCCGCATCCCCTAGGTAAGCCTCCCCCCCGAAAGAGTAAAAGCACAATGCACGATGGGGGAGGAAGAGAGAAAGTGGAGAAAGTGGGCAGTTTAACAGCAGCTCGAAGACGAGCAAAGCACTGCAGAGAAATCAAATACAAAAGCCAATTCGCATTGGTCTCTCTGCCATGTCTGCAATCAACAAAATACCAAAAAACAAAAAAAAAAAAAGAGAATCAGCATACATTTTACAGTTTTTGCGTTAGTTCGAAAGTGTTTGAAATGCCCTTAACCAATTACGCCCAAGAGTAAACGTAGTTTAAAGTAAACCTAGCCAATCATTCGTAAAATATCAGCTTTCATTTCTTAAACCTTACCAATGGACTTTGAACCCATCAAATGCAAATCTTAAGTAGAGAAATAGAGAGAGAAAGATATCACAAAACAAAAGTGTTTGCCACGAGTTTTAAAATGTAAACTACTAAAATATATATTACGTAGGCCTAAGCAAACTAACTGCAAGAAACAACACCAACTAATGAATATTCCATAGCATAATGCTAATATCCTAAGAATATCATAGAATAAGGCAGAGCATTTCAGACAGCACTTGTACCGTTCTAGACTTAAGTACTCGAAGTATACGTAACTCAAGCAATCCAATAACAATACAATAACTAAGTAGAAACTCTTATTGAAAACACATGTACTCGTCAGCCAATCCTCTTACGATATTACTGAGATAAGCACATAGTATTATATAGCCAAAGCCAGGAAAGCAGTAGGAAGTAATTGCATATATTTGTAGAGAAAGACAGCTAACGCAAGGGTCCACAAGCTACCCATTACTTAGCATAACTAAAGTAGTAGCTATACAAGTATATCAACTTAACCAATATCGAAGTATACGTAAATTGAAACCAAGAATTTTTCCTAGCCTAAACGACACTCTTTAAAGCAATACGATAAACAATAATTACCAGTTAACGCAGCTAAACACATATTGCATACCAGATAGTTAGATAGTTTATGCCTAACCACTACTAGTAGCCCTAAGTCCTAGGCATAGACCGAGCACCACGGCGAGATATGCACCCATGTAAAATGCAGAAAATTATTACCAAGAGTACAAACTGTAAAGGAAACCCCTATTGAAGCTCAATTGGCCAGCCCATCTAGTGTAGCCCTAAGTAGTTCGTAATCATAGGCAATTGTAAGGCAAACACTTTTCAAGTGAGCAAATATCAAGCAAACTGTGAGAATTCGAGGACGTGTGACGATGGAGCAACCCCCAGATCGAAGGAGAATATCATCAATCAACATTTCCGTGCCCGGAGGAGCTGCTCTTCAATCAACACTCAACCCGAACTGGGCCCTCAAAGGCCCGGCAACCTAAAGTTAGTCCTTTCATAGGCCTCTATTAATTAGTTAGCTAGCCGCCGTTTCTCTCTCGTAACTCTAACCGAATAGAAAACTCTAAGAATAGAAAAGTACCAAAACTTCAATCAACATACCCACAAACTATCCCCACCAACTGGCGCGGTAAGTGAAGAGCCATTTTAATTATAGCCTTAATTAAAGCCTTAAGCCCTAGCCACTGACTAGCCAAACTTAGTAGTCGAAAGTAGTGAATCCCACCTAGAACTCAACTGCGTTCGGATGACGGGCGGCATAGAGCCCATTTCCGGACTCTCGAAAGTTGCAACCGATGATCGCCGATGATGCATGTGATAAGCAAGTGATGAACAAACCGTAGCAAACAGGCAGTAGGCCCCTTGAACAACTTAACTTAGCTGCATTTTGCGCATGCCAAATGAAAAATAACAAACCATAAATTCCAATGGAAACTGAAACTAGCCGAGGGAACATGCAACCAAATTCGTTAAATTAACATTCATGCCGAGTTACACATGCAACTTAATCGGGGGTGCAAAAACTGCCGAGTAATTATTGTGCCCGTTCCGTGGAAACTTTAATTTCGGAATTTCCTCGCGACCATCGCGTTACTTTATACTTTATACTCTATGCCCCACTGGGCGATAATCAATTATAGCGGAAATGTCTCAACAAGCGTCTTAAATATGCACAGCTGCAATGGCAAGTTGACATGCTAGACGTTCGTTAAGCTATAGTAATTACTGTGGTCACACCTAGGGGAAATATTTTTCAAATAACTCATTTTCGACAGGAGAAACACATTTACAACACTGTTTGCTTTTCCTTTTCATACTTGTATTTGAAATTTAAATATATCAAAAATAACCCTGCTCTAAAAACTGGGCTTTCTATACCCGAAAAAATCAGTTTTGGACTGGAAATCTGTTAATATATTCATTTGTGGATTTAATTACTTAATGTAAGGCTTGCAAATATTATTTATACGTGTACATCAGAGAGCATGACTATTTGAAAAGCAGAGCTCTTTTTAACGCAGTCTTTGCAGCTGAAGTGAAAAATTTCTTTATTTCGGCCAACATGTTCATTTATTGAAAAAGTTCGGCTCAGCTTACGGCCAAGTTTCATTTGTGCTGGCCCGAAACTGTGACGTGTGGCATGGCATGTTGCCAACACTGGTCATGCACTTCCTGTTCAGAGAGCTGCAGTCGCCGTGTGATTAAGTAACACATGTAACTGTCAAAATCACTGGGTTTCTCAGGTGTCCTGATGGCCGAAACATGCTAATTTGCCAAATGGCAGCGCCACGGGCTCCACAAATCTTTTTGGCGGATAATTGCCTGCCCCAAAAATAGCAAAAAACTTCTTTTTTGCATCCGGAAACTATTATCCCAGACACGGCATTATTTGTGCATTCTCCAGGAGTTTAAGAAATATCCTTGCTGTGATAGACTGACCTAATCGTTCTCCTTCTTAATTAACTCATTAGTTAAGAGCGCATTTAATTATAGCCCTGCCATATTAATAATAATTACTTGGGGTTATTTTAGACTTGCGTTCGGCCATGTCTAAGTTTTCCCTAAATTAAATACAGCCATTTCATGTACTAAGCCAGCCAAGAGCCAGGCTAAGCGACAATTTGGTGGCATTTAAGAAGGCTGCAGCATGAAATGCTGAAGGCCGAGAGTAATCATAATAACCATAATAATAATGGCGCGATGGCCCCAAGTCATGTTACACCATTAGCGCAAAGAGTCCAAGGAGCCGAGGAGCCCAGGAGCTGAGGAGCCCAGGAGGAAGATGAAGAGCGGCGGGCAGTGGAGCTCCAGAGGTGCGCCTGTAAATGCAATTTAATTCCGAGTCTGTGAGCGCCACTTGGCCAGGTCTAATGAATGCAGCAGACTGTGGAACTGGCACAGGACACAGTACAAAAGACCGGAGTTTCCTCCGAAGTTGCGTCCCTCCGCTTGAGCCATGTTGTTTGGGGTTGCAAACAAGGCAGGCAGCATCCTGTGGAGAAAAGTGCGTATCTCATCCTGGCTCCCTCTCTCGCCATTTATCCGGAAAGGAATCGCCCATGGATGTGGCCAGCTGAATACCTGTAATTAAAAATTGTGCACCCCAGATACTTCCGTTCGAATTATGTGCACTTATCCGGCAGGAAGCTCCTCTATCCGGCAATAGAGGCAAAATTGTTATTGACCTGCTGCAAACAATTTGGAGTGTCGGGAGTAATTGAGGAAGTGTTGGGAAAAAAACGAAGCACCCAACAAGCCAAGTCAATAAATCACAATTCAGAAAATCAGTTAACAGGGCTAAATGCGACCTAAACTGGTTAAATCCCAGCCAGGTTCAGCCATGGCTTTAACCTGTTAACACATTTTCCAGCTGACTTTTTGCCTCTTGCTGTTTTTCTGCTAGTTCAACTGCTCAACTTTTTATGTGCACAAGTGTTTTTGGCCCTTTTTGTGCCAGGAAACAACAAAGCGGTGCTTTTTGTTTCACCACAGTGCTTACACGCTAAAATGTTTTTGTAAGCAAAAGCTATAGTGATTATTAGCTAGCTAGGCGTTTTTCAAGCACTTCAAATGTGATGATGATGTGAAATGCTGTGATCACTGCTAGAAGTCTTGACGAATCGTTCGATTATTATGCTTAGAGACTAAGTTTTGCTTCTCCCAGTGTACTGCCTCGTCCTTTGGGGAAAGTTTGTCTGTTCGGTGGCGAAAACGCAGCGTGTCGCTGGTCGGAGCCGCTAATTGGATAAGAATCAGATGTTGGCACTTCATAAACTGCCACCGCTGGCTCATTAGGGTCTGGGGTCAAGACGGGATCAACAAAGTCAACTGCAAGTTTCAACTGAGGTCGGCCATGAATTTAAGCGAAAAGTTTCTGCACTTTTAAGAGGCTGGGCTTTTAAGCAAATATGATTGTTCGCTAGTGATATACGATAACGAGTGCAAATAGGAAAATAGACTTTACCCGATAATGAAGTTGAGTTTGCTTTGTCAGAAAAAACTTTTTGATTGCGCTACTTAGAAATGCATTGCAATTAACCTATCAAATTTTTTGTATCACTTTCTCTTTTATTTCGTTTGGCATACAGCGGGCATGAAGAGGAAATCTCCTAAAATGCATTTGAATTTTTAAAAATGCCTTCCATTTAAGCTGCATCTTTGACTTGCCAAGAATCTGACTAATTGCCAAGAAATCTATGTGCAGCAGCTAACAAATTGTCGATGAATTTGATTTCGGCTCGTCGTTTAATATTTTATTAAAGCAACGCCTTCAAAGCTTAGCTCAAACACGGCAAACTTATTTGGGCGAAAAAGGTGAAATGGTGATGCAAAGATCCTGGGACAGACAAACGAAATGCTCTTTATAATTAACTTTTGCAACTGGCAAGTTGGGATTTTCACGTGTGTCTGTGCTTTGTGAAGTTGTCACCCAAATGTGGCAACAATGCTGGTGGCAAACGAAGACGGGAAGAGGGGGTTTTAGTGCTGCCGACTGTGGCCAAAGGCACAAATCATAATTTCAAATATTTTGCAGAGCACATATATATATATTTTACCAATGGGTGCGACTCCCTTTGCTCGACATTTCCCAACATTTCCTCCCTTGACTCATCAGCTGTTGTATTGTGGGAAATCAACTTTTCACCTGCATTTGATGCCGCACTTGATTTACTGCTGATTACATTTTATTTGCACCGACTGTCTGTGGAATCGCTTTTTTGGCCACAGCACTATGTGCAGTATGTGCAACTAACTCCCCGTCTGCATCTCAAGACTTGCAATTAGTGCGCAGTGCACATTGTGGA